TTTAGATGCAAGCATTAAATGAAGAAAATACTAATGATCATATTTTAGAAGTGAGCGAGTGATTCGTCTGATTTTCCTATTTGCAAATATTCCATATGATTTTTAAGCTTCCTTTACTTTTCTCTTATTTAATTCACACTCTAGTTGTACTTCAAAGAATTATTTCCATTCTTATTTGCAATCTTCTCACTATCATCATATCTCACACTTACATTTAGATTCACTTTTAGTAAGCTAAATATACTTGAAATTTTTTATATGAAATTCTCTTTTAGCCATAAGATGTTCTTTTTGGTAATAAATTCAATCATCTTGTATGTTCTTCTAAGAGATCCTCAAATATTAATGCTTCTCATACACACATGAATATTAAAAAGCACATTTATCATTCTCCCCCATCCTTACGAAGAAAAGAATAAGCCAAATGTTTCTTTATATTATAGGTCCATAAAAAGACTTGCAATAATTTACTCTGAAACATGGAAAATTTTACATGAAAGCACATAAGAGCTATATCATTGATTCCATTTTGCTTATAATATAGGTTAAAATATTGTTCCCAACGAGACTACGACAAAGCTTAATTTTAATAAAGTCGCAATCAGAACGAATAAATCAAGAAAAGAAAGTATTTAACACTACTGTGGCACCGAGTATAAACTTATCAAAATGTATAAATGAACATGACCGCAAAGAAAGACTGATGGCTATTGAATTCTGAAATACATCTACAAGATGAAAATTATAATAAGATAGATGGGCTCTACCATAGTACATAGAACCTAAATTCATAATGTTATGGGTTCTTCAAGATTATCCTGAAGATTATTTGGTTTATTTCATGTTAATCCAACTACTACACAAATTATATACAGCATTCTTAACTTCTGCATGAGCATAGTAATTTTCCTATGGATGTTAAAACTAAGCTAGGATCAGGTTGTTAAATATCTTAAGATTAAGCTAGGAAAGATTAAGAATGGGTTCACTAAATAAAGCATGACTGGAAAGAATAAAGGTCACTAGACTTCTAACCTAAGAAATGGAGGTCAGTAAGTGATGATTTAAGTCATCAGGATGGTTGATATGATTAAAAAAGTGCTTAGGATCATCAAGAAACCTAAATTTAGAAATTTACATGGTGAGCCTAAAATACAATGAGTTAGACTAGAATGTAGTGCATTATTAAAGGTTAACTAGAATAGACAAAGGTGGCCAACAAAATATTTGGGATTAATAGGGAACCTAAAATAAGGAGTTGAATGGATAAGGTTAGAAGGAATATGGATCATCAACAAAAGGTAGTCTAAGTCATGAGGGTAGTCAAACAACAATTTAGTTAGGTCATAGTCATAAAGTGCTTGACTAAGCTAAAATTTCTCTCTATTTTTTATTTTGTTATATTCTTATATTCTTATTATATTTTATAAGTGTCATTCAAGAGCATGCACTACTCCGGAGGTGACCCGCCACTATCATAAAATTAAAAAATTTAAAGTACCTTCTTAAGATGACTCAGAGAAAGGTGGCAAACCAACATACAAAAACAGATTACTAGGACAAACGTCAAAGATAAAGCAGTAAGCTTAACCATTGAGAGGCCCGAGCTTTACATGATTATGCTCAACTGATAATGCATGGGATGCCCCAAGCCATCGTCAAGCCTATAGTATGGGATAACAACTTCGAGATAAAACCAACTACTTTACAAATCATCTAGAGCTTCCAATTTGAGGGTCTAACCATAGAAGATCCAAATACTAACATTATAAATTTTCTAAAATTTTGTAATAAATTTTACGCATAATGAACATTTAGATGATGCAATCTAATTAATATGATTTCCATTATCTCCAAGAGAATGAGCAAAAATTTCACTAAACTCTCTACGTAGTATTTCTAACACAACTTTGGATAGCTTACCTCAAAAGTTCTTGTCAAAATACCTCCCGACAACAAAAATAACAATAATAAGAATTGAGCTATCCAATTTCATACAAATTGAGGGAGGAGAAACTATAGAATGATTGAAAAAGATTCAAAAAACTTCTAAGTTGCATCAACATTATAGCCTTTCCAAGTGGATGCAAGTATAACTATACAATGGATTAGTTGGACCCGCAAGAACTTTGATTGATGATGAATCTAGCGATACATTTATAGCAAAAATAAAATACAAGAAAATCCTTACAAATAACTCCATAAGACTGCTAAGACAAATCATGAATGGCAAATGAGAGAATTGTGCTGAATAAGCAAAAAATTGCAATGCAAGTTGCAGAACCTATAGTTACGCTCACAGCCAAGGTTGCAATGCAAATGAAAGCAACTGAATCATTTTGTAGTCAACGTTGTACGCTTAATGTGAAGCCCATTGAGGAGTGCACGTAAGCACTAAGTACCAAGCTAATGATCTCTTGCTCAACCAAAACTGGAGCAAGCCAATTTTGTAACAAATCAATAGCAACTCAACTCATACTCTAGCTCACAAAATCCAAGGTGAGCGAGTCACCCAAGTTTTTCTCAGAATAATACATAGGCTACTCAACAGCATATCATCACAACAGCAAAAAGGGAAGGAAGTCCTGATGAAGGATGAAGGATGAAGGATGAAGGATGTATATGTACAACTGACTATGACCACTACTCAATTTATGTTAAGGATAGATGCTACACTATAGAGGCAAAATGCCGCAATACAAAAACAACATATAACAATACGTAACATAGAGATGCAACCTTGTCCACAGAATAACATGGTGCTCTTCCAGTAATACGCAAGTCGATTCATAGAAATAAGTGAAGATTATCACTTTAAGCGATAGGAAATGAGAAAAATTTGTTGGCTAGGAGAGGCACAAAATGAAGAAGCAGGGGAGAAAAAGATAGAACTAGAGGAGTTGAGGAAAAGTCAAAATTATTCCTAGGCAAACCGCCATAATAGGTGCAATCATTACTATATCCTAATAAACCTAAGAAGAATTAGACCAATAATTCTCAAAATATTTAGATGTTTGTAAAAATCTGCACATCAACATCACAATAGTAAATGTCGTAGAGCAAATGCCTAACAACATAAAATTTATGAAGATCCTATCAAACATGAGAGAATTAGAGGAATATGAGATTGTAGCACTTACTGAGAAATGCAGCATAGGTAGAAAGAACTTAATTACAAAATTCTTTAAAATCCTCAACTTTTTTTAATCAAATTTGACATTGAGAACAATATACTACTCTAAAAGATAAAAATACTATATAACAATGAATTAAATTTTAAAATTATGTATCTATGTTATAAAAATTTTTTGTCTATCTAAATTAGCTTAAGATAATAGTACATTTTTCCTATAAGGCAAGCCCTTATAATTAATTACATCTTTAGAAGATAGTGATATCTTAAGAAAACTCTATTGAAATAGCACTGCATATTTTTATAGATTTTAACCTTCTCAATTTAAGAAAATTCATTTTTCATAACAATTGGGATAGCTCAAATAACAACAATCGTTTTTAAATTTCAATCGAGGAGAAATAGGGAGAACTAGATACTTAGGATCTAGTACCCGAAGCAGTGCTAATTAAAAATAAAGCACCATCTTTCAACCATTTTTCAAATTCTCACTCAAATATCAAAATTCATGATAAAAACCCAACTCATATTTTTCATTTTTATCAAATTCTCTATGGTTTAATCTTGGCACGCGTAAATGCATCGGTTCGGTTGTTCAAAAAATCACCTGGGTGCTTGATTTGTAATATCAATGTTTCAGATGCTTTGTATGTAATTATCCTTGAGAAAAATGATCACCCTTGAATCTTAGACTACAGTAAAAGATCACTAGAAATAAAAACTAAATATTAATTCTAAGAAAATGCAAGAGATTTACAGGCTTTAGACCAACATAGGACTAAAATAAGTTCACCTCTGCTGAACTTGTAACTCAAGAAATTTATAGAATTTAGCTCAACTAGGAGATGAAACAAGCTCCACTACGCTAGATTTATAACACTGCACAAGCAAGAAACTTAAAAATTTTAGACCACCCACCAAAGAACGAAACAAACCCGACTATGCTGCACATACAACTCTACTTGGAAAGTGTAACAAGCTAAACCCACTCGAGCATTGCAAAATCTTGAAATCCAATCACATGCAATGGAGGATGGGTAAGGTTAATGCTTAATTAAGAAGATTTGTGAGAATAATAGCTCAGCTCCAAAATTAAGGCTGCCTGACTATTAGTAATATGCAATACCTCTACTTAATATATTTTTTTTAATAATCCTTGAATGAATGCAACTCTGCTTACTATGAGATCCTAATTTCACTAAGGGTCATGAATGTACGCATCAGCTAAATAGGATTAGAAAATTGATTTTTCTAAATGAGTATTCAAAGTGAGCAAAACAATCAGTCAATCTAACCATACATGACAATCCATACAAAAGCTCCTAAATCACCTTTTAAGTTTCATTACGATCACTTTAATGCCTTTTTTTTAACAAAAAAAAATAATTATTCTTTTGTACAATATAAAATTTATTTCTTAGGAGCCTAACTATTTACGATATCAAAGTCATGCACAAACATGAAGGAAACCCAGGAAAAAAAAATTCTGGTGTGTATTTAAGTAAGCAAATCATCAAACAAACAACCACATAAATATCAAGAAAAAGTTTGGTATGATTGAATATCATAATACACACAAAAGAAATAAAAAATTGACAGCTAGGCCCTGCACTTAATAACCCAGCTTGGGTACTCCGGGCATCACAAGGTGTCACCGAACTTCATGCAGTTCGCCATTACTCATTGTAAATACCACATACACTATAACTAATGTTATAATTCTAAAATTAGAAAATAATAGTATCTTCATCATAAATAGGCATTGAAGCAAAGTACATTTGAAAGATAAAATAATTGAATATTACAATCTAGTAATAATATGATATAAATGAAACTAAAACAAACAACAGCTAAATCTCTCACACACCAAAAAAAAGGAAAGACGAATCTTCGGAAAGAAAGCTTTCCAAAGAATTTTCAAAAGATGTAATATAAGAGTGAATCAAAATCAGTTATTTTGGAGAAAAAAAAGAGAGAAATCTACATATGTCTATCCCGCTTCAAATCATTTCTATCACCACATCTTGTTAAATAACGGAAGGGGCAAAACACTAAGCATGAGCTACAATTTGCAAATGGAGCATAAAAACGCCACATACCAGACATATCATTCTATCTGTTAGGCTGCCGACCACCTCGGTCAAACAATCGGCCACCACCTCTTTGATAAGGCCTTCTGCCATGAGGCCAAGAACTCCCGCCATTAAAATGCGAAGTAGAACTCCCACCATTAAACTGCACAGACGGAGGAAAAGGTAAAGAAGCCTGACCCTGGATTATCTCATTACCCAGGCCTGGTGTTAAAGAAGCCTGACCCTGGATTATCTCATTACCCAGGCCTGGTGTCCCAGGCACATTTGTAAATCCATTACTAAATGGGGATGGTGCAAAATTATTCTGCCCCAAAGGTTGCAAAGACGGTGCAGCACCAACCCATGGCAAGTTGCTTCCTTGATGAGAAACAAACTGCTGAATTAGCTGCTGAAAGGCCATCATGTTGACTATATTATTTAAAACTACATTTTGATACTGCAACTGCATTGAATGATCACCTTGCAATCCTGTATTCTGTAGCAGAGGTGAATATCCAGGTGGCCCTGGAGTTTCTTGATGCTGAGTTAATAACTGATGTGATGGATTACCAAGATAGTTAAACCCTTGTATTGCCTGTGGATATTGTGGCATTGTGGGGGGTGGTATCAAATCTGCATTTGTAGCAGAAGCCCGTGAACTCCATGATCCAGGAATTATTCCAGATTGACTCGTTAATGGTGCTGGTTGGGGCGGCATCAGACCTGTAGGATGTGGCTGATACATAGATAATTGTCCACAAGATGGTCGTTTTCGTATGTCCTTATGTTGGGTCCTAGGCCTCATTAAGTTATTCCTCTTCCCTTTAAACCTAGCTTGCTTCACACCTTTACACTGATTGACCGCGCTCTTTCCTTCCCGCAGAGATTTCTTACACTCAGCTTCTTTTTCATCATCGGAGAACTCTACCTCATTATCAACCTCCTCGTCATTCTCACCTGAGGCATCGTAGCCTTTCCTGTAGAGCTCCTTGTCATTGAGAATTTGACTGGCAAATTCTGCAACAAAAGCGATGGCTACACCCACTCTGATTCCTGCTGGCACTTCTTCTTCAGTATTGTACCTAACAATATAGTAGGGATTCTTGACAGGTCCAAATATTTCATCTACCAGACCTAATGGGAGTCGGGTGTCCATGACCCAGAGAATAGATCCCTCATTAAGAGGGTTGTGCAAAACAGAACCCTCGATAATGACTCTATTGCCCATTATCTGAGAGATTTCAATGATCAATGGTTTATGTTAGTAGATCCAAAATTTTAAATAAATGGAATCAACAGATAAGTAAGGCAACAAGATTAACGCATCAAGATGAATTTTTAAGATAAGATACGTACAAGGTCATTAGAGGAAAAAATTTTATAATAACTTCTAGATAAGCATAAATGACAGGAGCAGCAAAAGAAATAAATGCAACAGAGTAGAAATGAAGGACTTGGCGTGTTTGTGTAAAATTGCCCAATCAGAAATAGCAGGAACTAGTTCAACAGTGCACTAAAGTTACTCTGCTGCAAAACGACAAATGCAATCATCTTTTTATCATTATTTTTCTTCAACATGCACCACTCACCAAATTAGAAAATGTTGCCAGTGTAACCAATAGTGACATTAAAAGATCACTCAAAACAATGAAAAAAAAAATGCTGATATTTGTAAATGAGTAACAAACACAATCCAATGTTTTTCAACTAAGGAAACATTCTACTTACAGATGAAATAACTCCCACTGGCAGCAGCTGGTGACTTGCCTGTAGTGTTACTTTAACCATAGGAACTGGAGGAAGATCCTACAAAACATGCATCCATATAAGCACCCAGCAAGCCAAAATCAATAAAATATTTACATTTATATATTCATCTGGAATAGTAAAGTCCAGTTCTTCGAATAGCTGGCACTGCTATAGACAAAATTGAACAAAAAAAATACTAAATTGTTTTGTTGCAAAGCAGTAATCCTGCACAAACATCAAATACAAGATTGGACACCAATCTAAAGCACTTCACCATAAAACTAAAACCATAAGTCTGCAGGCATGTTTGGAAACACTTGAAAGGTTTTGGAAATAAAGCCTGGCTCTAAAACCTTTAAATATGATGGCATAACTAAAAATCAAATAACAAATAATTATGAAAACTGACAAGTAGATCTCAATATTTCTGATTCTATATGCATGGAAGTACAAACTAAGTAAATTTCTATTCCATGTTAGCAAGTGAAACAAGGAGGTACGCAACCCATCCTCAAATAAAATTGGGAAATTTACATGCCACACAATTCTTTTATCGTTGCATATCTAACACCAAAAATTTGAAATTTACATTCATAACACTTTGGTATTAAATACTTATGCATGAAAACGTGTATTTTAGTTTTAAAAATTAAGTTACAGTGGTATTATTGATATGATGTCAAAGATTTGAGTTGTAGCTATGTAAATATGAATGTTTAGGTGTTGGATATGTAAATATACAAGACTTATGGGGTAAGTATGTAAATGCCCAAATACAAAAACATATGCAAGTGCTGCTCATATAAGATGTAAAATAACAATTCAACCAAAATGACCTCAAAGCTAGTCAAGTACATCGACCAAAAATAAAAGCAATTCACATATTATCAGCATTGCCATTATATGCATTCCACGGACGGCTCCACAAACATAAAAATACTAACAAAAACATGGAAAGGACAACAAATAAGGAAAGAAAGATATATACCTCAACCTCATTTTTTGAACGGATGGGTCCTTTAGAACCTTCCACTTCCGCATCACTAAGGAAATCAATCATATGTGCATCAAACTCCCTCACCTCACCTTCTTCAAATTCTTCACTCGTCTCTCTCCTTTTCATCCCAACACCATCTTCATCTTCACTGCTTGAAAGCGACTCGGCAGCACTCATGGATTCATCACTACTGGACGCATCACTTGAAGAGTCCCCATTGTCAGACTCGGATTCTAAAGACGTGCTCCCCTCCTCATCACTCTCTCCATCAAAAATTCCTTCCTTATTTGGCAGTTCACTCTTCAAATCTTCCAATCCAGGCTTCACGCACATCATGTCTCCATAACTTCCACCTTCCTTCTCCTCCAAACCCACTTCTCCTTGGCCTCCATCTATAATATCAACTAGGCTGACCTTCTCCATCTTCACATCAATTGATGATTCCAATATCTGATCTTTCTGCTCTCTTTCAACTCCACTACAGTGAAGCTCATGGGGTTCAATGCTGGTGTTGTTTAAGTCGCTAGAATTTTGCAATTTCATTGGATCAAAGTTATCAAAAAGAAAGTAATTTTCTTCCTCGACATAAGCTGGGCTCCAGCACTCGAACATCACTGCTGATGAATATTAATGCAAAATAAAATTTGACCTTCCATTTATAAAATATGAGATGAAAGCAAAGGAAAAATAATTGAAGTATCTTTTCTTTAGGATCATTACAAATGAAATTTTAAAATTGCATCTAAATAAAACATAAACATAAAGTTTACTGAAATGAATTATAAAGACCTTACCCAATTAAACACATGATTTTACTAAAGAAAAACCTAAATAAAATAAAATAAAACCATTAAAAAGCATGGTAAACAATTGAAAAACAAAATGAAACAAAAACCCTATATATCTCTAACAGTTTATGTTCAATTGAAATAATAGCAGATTCTCAAGTCAAAAAACACAAAAATTTTTATAGCGGGTTCATAAATTAAGAAATCAATCAGTGACAGAGATACATCAATCTTATAGTAACAAATTCAACCTTCAGTGCATGGTCTTTGAGAAAGTATAAGCCAAAAATATGACAAAGGAAATAAAGAAACCTTGAGCATGCATATAGGGTTAATCATTTGACTAACAATTAAAGACCATATAAAAAAAAGATCAGTTTTGATTTAAGTTTAAATCCAAATCAATGAACCGTGCTCACTTGAATCAAACTTGAATTAACCTAGGCCAGAATTTGAGCAAACTAACACTAGATTCAATAAAAGCAAAAAGACATGCACGCCCACACATGCACAAATGCATCACGATACATGTGTTTATCTTTTGGACTATGATTGTGTCCCGGAAGTTGAGAAAATCAATCGACACTAAGGGTCTGTTTGCGGTGGCGGTGCGGTGGCGGTGTGGTGGAGGTGCGGCACCGCACCGTAGATTTGTTTGTTTGGGTAAACTGCATTTTGACATCTTTCTCAAAAGGCTGCCGTTGAAATCTGTGTCTTCCCACCACTCCTGGCTAGGTGTGGTGGCAGCTTTCTAGCTACAGTCTGACTTTAAAAAAAATTTAGTAATAACCACTGCAGCATTTTGAAAATCAAATTATTATTCAGCAGCTTCACAACTGCTTTTTGATAAACTGCAGCGGTCTCAAACTAACCCTAAATCAGTTTTTAGCTTTGCTAAAGCTTGGAGTGAAATTAATGAGTCAGGCATGGTTAAAAACTAGATCAATTCAGCCAACAGCTACACATGGCCAAGCTTGGGACCAAGTGAAATGGATTTGGATGGATCTCAAATCAAGAGGGATAACCTAAGATAAATCATTGAAAATCCTACCTACATAAAACATAAAGTTGAAGTGCTTTTTATGATGCAATAGAAATCAGCAAGTTTAGCCCAAAAAGAATGTCATTTTTTCATAAAATCCAAAAGAAGTCAATTTGGGCTACAAAGAAGATCTTCTTCAGTTAAAATTAGGTTTAACTTTTGGATGGGATTAAGTTTCATCTTATAATAGGATTAGACTGTATTTAAATTTTGGTCTCATCCACACAATCCTATTTCTAATAGAAGTTGTTATGATTGCATGTAATTGATCAAGTAGCATTCATGAATGAAACTTGATTACTCATGATGCCAATCAAGTACTTCTTAGGTCCAAATTGTGTACATCAGTTGCTCCAAATTGGGTATGCAGAGCTCCGTCTTCTCCCCCACAATCAGTTTAGGCAAATGGTAATACATTGTTTCCAACTACCAATAACAGGGAAGGAGAAGACTCTCGGACCATAAATTAAACAAACAAAAAAATCTAGAGCAGAACCGTCAACATTGAGAAAACTTAAACCAAGAGTTTTGTGAGGGAAAGAAACAAGGAGAATTTTTTGTTAAAAAACCCAAACTGATCATTGGCCAAACTGTGGAATTAAGTCGCTATGACGTTAATATAACACTGTTGCGTCGATCAATGTCTTCTTAATTCAAAATCTTGGTCGATATATAGGTATAGGGAAATGTTGTATACATTAGACCCTCATAAAATTGTATTTTGGCAATCACTCCATCCTAAAATAACACAACTAACCATACTAGAAAACAGAACTGATAACACAATTTGTTATTGGTGACTTTTCCCAACGAGGCTAGAACATATGAGAGTTCTGCAGCCCAATTTCCTTTAATTCCTTCCCAACCGAAGAATAAGTAATTGCAAATGCGGTTGTCTGATTTCGTTCTCCACCATGAAATACAAGAATATAAGTACCAAAGAAGAAGAAATGCATAACAAGAAGAGGAAGAGGAAGAACTGCAGACGAAGAAGATAAATAAATGCCGTAGAAATGTCTGTCGAGGTGCGAAGAAGAGGAAGAAATGGCTGTCGAAAAACCTGTGGAGTTGCGAAGAAGATGGCACGGAAGAGGCCATACCTGCCTGCCGAGAAGGACAAAGAAGAAGCTTGCCGAAGAAGAGCGCGATGCCTAACGGAAGCAGGGGGCCGCACGGAAGAGGTTATACCTGCCGAGAAGGACAAATAAGAAGCTTGCCAAAGAAGAGTGCGATGCCTAACAGAAGCAGGGAGCCGAGAATGTCGAAGAACGGAAGCAGGGAGTCGCGAGCTAGGGCAGACCTCAAAGCTTCTCGGCCAAATGGGGAGCGCGAAGGCTCCTTTGTAAATCCTGAGATTTCGTAAATCTCAAATTAACGTTGATTCGTTGTAAATCCAAGATTTAGGGTCTGTTTGGGGCAGCTGCAGCTTATCCAGCTTATGCTGATAAGCAGCTTATCCTGATAATCTGTTGATGACCAGCTGATCCTGATAAACTAACTGACTGTTTGGTTTGTGCGTTTGGAAAACAACTAATTCTGGATAAATGATCAATCTGCCCCTATTTTGGATAAGTTGTTTAACTGGTAAAAAGCTATGCAAGTTTTGTAAACTGCTTATTTGCAGATTTTTTAATTTAAATGAAAAAACTGACACACAAAAGTTGTAATGTCTACCCTCAGCTATTTTAGAACCAATTAACTCATTTCCGACTCATTCGACACATACATACCACCTAAAAATTGTTATTTACAAAAACAAATTCTAGCAAACAGAAAACATAATATCAGGTAGAAAAATGTTCAAACTGCTACAAAATACCGATAATAAAACAACCCATCCCAAGTGCTTCCCCAACTCATAATGCATATGAATTTATTTTCTCAGTCCTATCTATAAATCGTCTCAGTGGCAATCAACAAAAAAAGAAATAAGCCACTTCATTTACATCCAACCAAATAGAATGCATAATTATGTTTCCTGTTTAGAAGCAATCAAATGGGGCATGTAGAAGAATTTGTAATAGTTCCCTGCAAAGCAGATAAATACTAGGAGAGCCTCGTCCAAGTTAAAAGAAATAAATACTGCAACCAACTGCACCTTATACAACTCAAACCAATCTGGAGGAAGCTAAATTCCGCATGTTCAGCATCTTATACAACCAACTGCACCTTATAAAATTTTCCATGAATATGATACAGGTAGGAGTCAAATTCAATATGCAATATTAAGAATTTTGAAGCATGCAACACCTTGCATCACAGATAATGCCATATGAACAATGCTAAGGCTATTTTTATAAACAATGCAAAGGCCATATGAACAAAGCAAGCAATTTCTTATTTCACAGAATTTTGAGAATTTTGAAGCATGCAAAGGCTATTTTCACATAAGCAAAAGCTTAGAAGTTATAAAAAAAATTTAAAACCCCATAAATGAAGGTCCTTGATCCATATTCATAGTTGCTTGTAATGCCGACATGTACTGAGAAGGCAAATCAGCTCAAATTAGCTTTCATTAGCACGGTCTTCATGCACCAAGTATGTTTAATTTATTTACCTATTGTAATTCATGCAAATAATAGCTAAATAAACTTCATATAATATGTTATTCTGCACCCAACTAGCATAGCCCCCTGCAACATCTGTTCACAAATATGATTTATTAGAGAAACAGTCAAATGCAACAGGATGGGAACAACTTAAGCATGCAATTTTACTGGGAGTGCAATATCTACCTCCAAAGTCCATGGAGACAATCACCTAAAATTTGCAGTAATTTCAATCTAATAGAAAATGATATAAGATCAATAAATATGAAACAGAGTTTATCACTGACAAGGTAGAAGAGAGGATAGGAAAAGGAAAGCATTGGTGTGTCTTGAAGCTTTATTAGCAAAATTATACTTGGGCATGAGAATTTATGTATTCAAGCACATAAGATCAGCCGCATCAGGTCAATATAACAAAATTACACACATTTTGTAAAATTTACAGACATATCCTAAGCTAAATAAAACTTCGGTTAATAAGAACTAAGTACATAATTGGAAGAAAGAAAGTTGTTGTCTATAGAACTCCCACAACGTTTATAAGAGATTATAATTGCAAGATAAAAATTGAACCATCTTCAAATTCAATTAGTTCTAACTTCAACAACTGTACAAAAAAAAGGAAACAAAAACTGACTTTGAACTTCGTCAAAATCCAATATAAATTGCTTTCCCTATTTATAATTTCCTTCCAAAGATATATATATTCATACTCGAAAATAAAGTTTAAAAACCCACGAAAAATAATGTCATGTTCGAGCAATTTTGTCATCTATCTGGTCTCGCAATGCGGCTATTTCCCTTGCACCTTCACCTTCGCGGCTGTAAGCATGTTCTGAGTTTTCATGTGGTATGGGATGACCGATATGGAATTCAAATGTTTCTTGTGGAATATGATGCATGTCTTCTTCTACAGATGACCATATAACTTTGTATTGAACATGTAGCAAAAGAGAGGCTTTCCAGGAGACCTCTCGTACTTATAAACATGTCACACCGCAAGCTTTCACAACAGGTGAAATTGAGTTCAGATCACCGTACTATAACATTAAGCACATATGAGGAGGAAATACCAAACACCAATCATCAAAGATTAACCAAAAATCTTAAAAAAAAACACAATTACCCCAAAAGGAGTCATAAACATCCAACATAAATGAACAATAGAAATTATAAATCAATCTTGAAAAAATTTAGTAAATAATAAATTGTTGAAATCAGTTACTACACAGATATCAAACAACATACTAACAACTT